GGTGACCCTGGGCCCAGGGTCTATCTCTTTTTCTCTTTTTCTGAGTTGGCACTATTCTCAGGCAGCACCCTGCCCCCCATGCCAAATGGCCCCCGGCAGCCCCCAGATGGTATCTCTTAGAACACGACATCTAGCAGAGAGAGGCCTTTCCCCCATAACAGTCCCATGACTAAAGTCCGGGGGGGCGGGGTCTTTTACTGACCTTGCCCAACCTGCCGCAGTCACTGGAACTGGAGGCTATCCAAGCCAGGCCCTGTGCATCCCTGAGCCCTGCGGGTGGTTCTTCTGCGGGAGTCGGGCATGTTGGAGGGAAGGGGCGCTAGGCGGGCTGATGGGCACAGATGCCAAGGCAAAGGCCTGGCCTGCAGGAGGCAGGAAGGCTGCTCAGGCCCAGCCTGACCTCTGAGGTTGAGGTCCAGGGGGGAAGAGTGAGAGCTTTCCTTGTAGCGCCCAATCCACTGCAGGATGCTGCCTGGCCAAGCCTGGGTCATGGGCTCCAGTCTCAACCCGCTTCCAGGCAACATGGGGCGAGTTGGGAAGGGTGAACTCCAAACCCAAAGCAGCTGTTGCAAGAGGAGGTCTGCATACTGAGGACAGGGAGACGTGTACTGAGAGGATCCTCTGACGACAGGTGAGGAGAGAGGCTTGGCTGGCCTCTGGCAGGGAGCCACAGAACCAGGCCCAGGCCAGACTCGGGTGTGTCTCAGAGGCTGCTGTCTCAGGACATCCCCAGGTGGCAGCCTCCCCTGCTGCCTGAGCCGCCTGATGCCCGGGGGAGGGGGACATGCCCAGAGCAGGCCTCAGGCACAGACGACTCTCCACCCCAGGAACTAGGTCACAACCCGACCTCCAGTCTAACAGCTTTTATGAAAGACATGAGCCATGGGTCCATTTAAAAATCATTTTTTTATTAACATCATCTTCCCATTTAGCCAAGTGTCTGCCATGTATAAGGAATGTCGGTAAATATTCCATTTGAAGCTTCTTTGTACATATTTCCATCCATAAATAAACTCTGAATTCACATAAAAAAGTTAAACTTAAATAACTCATATTTCCTTCTCTTGTAACAGGCATATATTGGTAAAATATAAATATTCTTGGACTCAGGCTTTGTTCTAAGTGAGGAGAACAGTAATTCTTCACAGGGTACAATTATGGACAATAAACCGAGAAACCGCCAGCTGGTGTCCTGGCGTGGACGGGTGCTGAGGTGGGAACAGAGGATTCACATTTGGTTTCTGGGCTGTGGTGGCCGAGCAGAGGACAGACAGTTGTCTTCTTTACAGCTCTGATAAAAATAATCTGTTCTGCCACTGAGTCTCACCTTTGAATCTACGCTTCTACATTGGCTGATTAACTCCATAATCATTTCACTTAAAACTCAGATGTCAGCTAACCAGATATGGCACATAATCCCTGTGAGCCCCGCCAGAAGGTTCAGAGACTGTCACCAAGCTGGCCCAACAGCAGAGGGACGCGCGAGGAGCGAGTGGCGATGGGGTGGTTGGTGAGCTCGCTGTGGTCAGTGGGACATCCCCCGGGGCCTCGGAGCGGCAGAGCCACCCCCGGGCCACAGGGTGCTCCCCGGGCCCAGGCAGAGCGTCCTTGGCGAGCAAGGCAGGTGAGGCAGGGCCTGCTCAGAGCACGCGGGGGATGATGGTGAAGGGCACGGCCGGGCTGCTGGCCTCCAGCTCCAGGGCCGTCAGGAAGCACTCGGTGGCCGCAGCGTCGTTGCCCTGAGCTTGGAGGACCTCGCCCAGCCCGTTCCACACCTCGTGGGCTGTCGAGTTCACCTGCACCGCGTCCCGGAGGATCTTCTCTGCCAGGCTGTAGCGGCCCAGCTGGTGAAGGATCAGCGCCTGCCGGAGGCAGAGAGACAGACAGACAGTCAGACAGGTCAGAGAGCTCTGGGCACCTATTTGTTCCTTCCGTTTTCAGTAGTTCACGGAGGTGGGAATGTCACTCCAGTCGGCTGTGAACACAGTAACTTCTCAAGAGATCCCTGTCTCAGGGCGATAGTCAAAGCAGTGGCTTGGGCCCCGTGGAGCTGCAGGAGTTTAGCCATCTTTGACCCAAGAGGCAGCTTCCTGTGGTTCATCTGCAAACTACAACCAGGAAGGCACCAACTGCAGAGGCACTCTCTGTGCCGCCTCAGGGTGCCCACGGGCCACGTCCCAGCACCCACCAGCCTGATGGAAAGCTATCGTCACCTTTTGGGCTTTGACCTAAAGAAATGTCACTGGGGCCACTGCTGTCATGCTGGTGATGACACACTTCTTAAAGCTGCTCACGGCCTCTTGCCCTAACCCAGCCCTTGGGCTCCACGTCCCCAGCTTGCCCCATCTGGGCCCTGCACAATTCCAGTCAGGGTGTGTTTGTATGGGCCCCAGAACATCTGGTCACACCGTCCCCCCTCGGCCTATCCAGAGCAGTGCCTTCCTACACTTCCACCCCAGGGCTCCGCTGTGGGGAGGGAGCTGGGGTCAGAGCAGCCTCTTCGCTGTTAGACCTCTCATGGCCACCAACACTGCCCAGAACACGCTCTGTCTTCTTTTGGATCAGTGGATTTCACGTCTTTTTAATAGTTCTGGGAAAACTTGGCAAAATGAGATCTCACTGAGAAAACCCCTAGTTTTATATATAAACAGTCACAACTGAACTGTTCCAGGTGAAGGGCAAAGGGCAGGGAGCCCAGTGTCCCCCAGGGCTCCCACAGTGGCCCTTGATGGCCATTTGAAGATTCTCCCTTTGGGCCAAATTTCTCCAAAGTGGCCATTACTGGGTGAAAAGTCAGACTCTTTCTAGGGTTCTCCAAATACGCGTGGCTCTGTGGGAAGGCTCGCCTCCCAGCCAGACTCTGTGGTGGCCTGCTCCTTTCAGTGTGGCTCTTCTTTGTACTAATGTCACCAATGCAACACCTGCTCCTGTGGAAATCTACGTTTCTTCAACAACCATCGAGGTTTGCTCTCCCAGGCCTCCTATAAGAGTCTTCTATAAGACTCACCTTCACTCACTAGCATAACTTTCTAGCCTTTGATGTCCCGTAGCCCCGGGGATGGAACCCAGGGCCTCATGCCTGCCAGGCAAGCACTGTACTACTGAGTTTTATTCCCCGTCCTTTTAAAACTTGGCATCCTGTGGCCTCAGCTTCCCGAGGAGCTGAGATTACAGGAGGGTATCATTACATGCCTTTCCTTTGATTTTGCGCTTTCTAGAATTCAAGGTATTTTAAATTAAACATTGATGATTGATGACTTTTTAGGGTTACTTCAAAGCTTAGTAAGTTCTCCTTTGAAAGATCTGACACGTGATTAGACTATTTTTTTAAACATTTATTTTTTAGTTGTAGTTGGACATAATACCTTTATTTTATTTTTATGTGGTGCTGAGGTTCGAACCCAGTGCCTCACACATGCTAGGTGAGCTCTACCTCTGAGCCACAACCCAGCCTTGATTCTGAAACGCTCTGGCAGAAGAGAAGCATTTCTGCCCCTGGATTGAGCTCCACCAGGCCTTTCTGCCCACCCGTCACACTGGCAGTATTGCCTCTGCCACCCAGTGAGTTGAGACAGGAAATGGGGCCATGCTCCCGTCACTCTGAACCATGTTCTCGGAGGATCTGAGACAATCCTCTTGCCTTTGCTGTTATTTATGTATTTCCTGACTGCCTTGTCCTGTATCATTCCAGGTGAATGCTGAAACCCCTCTGTTCCTTCCTTTGGGATCACACTGGTCTTGCCTGGCATTTGGGTGTGTGGACACCCGACACCTTCCAGGCTAGTCTTTCCACCAGGAATGTGACATGGCCCTTCTCTTAGGTGGGGTGTGCAAGTCCCCACAAGGCCAGTCCAGACTGCTCTCCAGCCTGGGCTTCACCTTCGGTCTCTTGGAAGCAGGATGGCCGGTGCACTGACATGAACAAGGTGCCTGCCAGCCCCAGGCTACGCCCGAGCCACAGGCTGCGTGGCACGTGTGCAGGGGGCAGGCGGGCTCACCCTGGAAACACATGTCTGAGACAAGCTCTGTGCAGTAGTCGGGCACCTCCAGTGGGCAGCATCCAGGCCCAGAGGGCAGCGTCCAGGCCCAGAGGGCTCCTTGGGCGGACTTCCCACCAGAGCCAAGAAAAGCAACCTGACTTCCAAGAGTCACCCAGACCTAAGACCAACTGCGAGCTGGTGGCCAGTGGGATGCCAGCCAAGGGGACACACATCCCCAGGGCAGTGTGAGCCCGAGGGTGGTCCTCTACTCAGAGGTGGAGGAGTGGGAGCCACAGGTCTAAGAAGAAGAGAGTTCAGAAAGCTGCTCGAGGGAAAGTGGAGGAGGAAGACGCAGAAGGAGGAGGAGAAGAAGGAGCAGGAGCCAGACCCTGCAGAGGACGCGTCCCAGTCTGCACAGGATTTCCTCCAGCCCTCTCCATCCACCTTAGAGGACAAGGGAACTGGCGCAAGAATAGGCAGATGCTCAGCTTGGGCCGGGCTTTGTAACAGGACGAGAACCCACACGGCCACAGTCTTGACAGCAGATGTTTCCCCAGTGTTGGTGACACATTGAGCACTATCCTAAGTGCATTTGATTCCCAGGGGACCCAAAGCCATTTCACATGGGCACGGCTAGGACCCTTGTGCAGCAGGATGAGAGGGCTGCTCCCACTGCCTCGAGAGCCCAGTGGTAGCCCCTGGCCTGGGCCCCCAGTGCCCCAACCCCTACTTTGCAGGTAGGCTCCTGCAGAACCTGCTTCTCCAAACTCCTAGGGCCTGCCTGGTCCTCTGTGCGGAGTGGCAAATAATCCTGCCATTGTCCAAGATGGGGGGTCTCCCCACCCTGAGGGGCAGCCAGACATGACAGGAGACCACCTGCCCAGGATGCAGTCAGCAAGACTCCTGCTCCTGCTGCTTCCTTCTAGGGGAGGGCCTCAGCCTCGCCTCGCCTAGAACATTCCAGTGTAGCCCAAGGAGATAGGAGCAGGCAGGGACTCGTACAGTGGGGCTGAGCAGCGGAGTGAGGGTTAAGATAGGGGTTCGCATCCCCCAGGGGGCTCCATGGGCTCTCCTGCCAGGAGGCCCCCTGTATGCTTCTGGCAAGAGTGACGGGGACCTCGGCATGGTGTCAGACACAGGTGTCAGACACAGGTGTCCTTGCTCACTTGGCTGCACTCGGTGTGGCCAGACCCTGCTGCCGTCTCCCTCTGTGGGAAACCCCTCGCTGTCAGGAACCATGTGGGCACCTGACTTGGCTCCTCTCCTATTGCCTTGGCTCCTCTCCTATTGCCTTAAGTGCAAGGAGGCAGCATTCAGAGGCCATGTTCTTGCCCAAGGTCCCTGGGCCAATGGACACAATTTGTAGGCTGCCAAGGCCACTAGACTGTGCTGCCCACCAGACTGTGCTGCCCTTGGGCCTTGTGAAGAGAGGCTAAGGTCTCTGCAGGCTCTCAGGCCACATCTGCGTCAGTAGTCAGGTTTTCCTCGCTGAGACCAAAATAGCTGAACAGAACAACTTAGAGCAGAAGAGCTTGTTTTGAGCTCAGTGTCAGAGGTCGGGGCTGACTTCATTATTCTGGGCCCCGAGGAGGGGCCGAACATGGCAGAAAGGGGTGGGAGGAGAAGGGATGATCAGCTCATGGCAACCAGGAAGCAGAGACAGAGGGGGAGGAGCCAGGGACGGAATGTATAATCCCCAAAGGCAGGCGTCCAGTGACCCACTTCCTCCAGCCAGGCCCCCCTGCCTACAGTTACCACCCAGTGATCCATTCAGTGATTAATCCACCCAATGGACCAACCCTCTCCTTAGGTCACGGCTCTCATGATCTGATCCTAATACAGGGGCTTTTGGGGAACATGTCTATCCAAACCCTAGCAACACCCTGGTGCCCTCAGGCAATAACTCAGTTGCATCCGGGCAACAGCCAAGGGCAGCAGCGCTCTCCCCTTTCATTTCTCTGACCACTAATGGTCCATTTGATTGCTTCGCAGGACTGGGAAATGGCTCCTCTGGAGGCACCGCTTTTCTCTGGCTTAGGCCTGCATCCTGATGTTCATTCCTGACCAGGAGGGCTCCTTGCCTCTCTCTGGTGGCTCAAAGGTTGGCTGAGATCTTAAGGTTTGGGGTGGCTGCAGGTGCCACAGCACTGGGGTGTCCTGTTAGGCAGAAAGTGGACCAGTCAGGTGTGGAGGCCCGAGGGTGCTGCTCTCGGCAGCTGCGACTGTCTCTACCCTGCTGGGGTGGGGCAGAGTCTAGCAGCCCCTGACTGTGGGTGCTCCAGGGTACAGGGCAGGGGCATGTCTACCCACCCCCCAAATTCCCACTGAGAACCAGCCCAGTGGACTCATTTGACCATCAGCCTTGGCACTGGGCCACTGAACTTCTGCGGCTCTTCAGCCTCCAGAGACCTGACTGTGTTCCTCAGGGAGGAGCAGGCTGTCATTCCTGATGTCTGGAGGTTTTCCAAGCAATCTGTTTAGCGGGATTAATCCCCAAAGCTGGAGCCACTCAGGGAGGCAGCACAGACCTGCTGGGGCAGCTTGGCACAGGAACGAAAAACAGGCCTCTCCCCAGTGCCGCAGGAGCAGCGTGGAGATCAGTCACTCCACGGGATCAAGCAGGGCAGATGCCAGCTGGGGTCTGAGCTGTTGCTCGGGGCCAGTGTTGTAAGAAAATTGCCCAGAGGAGGACTGGGACCTAGATGTGTCAGAAGTGACATGCCACCCACATCCCCATGCAGCCAACAGGCCTTCCTGCCCTGCCCCAGCCCGACTCCTCCACTGGAGCGTTGATATCCTTGCTCAACTCACACGCCCCGGCTCCTCTCGTCTCCAAAGACCAGGGGCCTCCCTCTGAGGCTGCACTGAACTCCTCTCTTTGC